CAAACTCAAACAAGGAGAAAGAGGGGGTTTAAAGAAGGAAAAAGGTTAGGAAAAGTGTGTAGAATTAAGGTAATGACCTTATTATAACTTTTCCTTTATTTTTCTTCTACCATATGAGATATATATCATGTGAAGAATCCTTAAGAGGGTTCTACATGTTATAAGTATGGATTTATGGGTTGGAGAGTGATTCTATGTCCAAGAACGGACTTAGAAGCCAAAACGACCGGTTCACCGGAAAATAACCTTTTTGAGGTTATTTGTATTAATATGGGTTTTATGATTATAAAACCTTGTTAGGGACTTGTAAAGGGTATTTCAAGTGATTTCACAAAGTTGGGAAAGTCTCCGGAGTAGTCGCCGGAGTTGACCAAAAGTCGCCGGAGTTTCACCGGAGTTCAACCAAGAAGGGTAAAACTTCAAAACGCTAGCTCAAGGTGAGTGGACGGCTTAATATCTTATAACTTTTGGGTTAATTATGAGATTACCTAAATAAATGTTATATGATTTCATAATGATGTTTAAAAGATATTTAAACATGTGATTAGCCAATAGGGTTAAGTTTGTATGAAGAAATTAATTGTTGATGCATGGAATATGATATGAAGAATTATATGAAATGCATATTTGGTTGAAGTGTATTAGAAGCACAAATGAATATTATTAACTTAATTATATGATGATTAAGTTGATACACACAAGGCTTGAAATGGCGGTCAACGAAAACGTGGACCGAAGAACAAAGGATTTAATTAATACCGGTTGGTATTAATTAATTATAAACCTATATAAATGCATGGCTTTGCATGGATTGTGATACATAAGATTTATGTATTGGATTAGTTATGAGTAACTAAGGATGATATAGACTCTATCTAGGTTGATAGGGGGTTGATCATAGGAAAACTTGGTGGAGGACCCTAGTACTTAAAAAGTACTTAACACTCAAAATTTGGTGGAGGACCCTAGTACTTAAAAAGTACTTAACACTCAAACTTGGTGGAGGACCCTAGGACTTAAAGTCCTTAACACTCAAACTTGGTGGAGGACCCTAGTACTTAAAAGTACTTAACACTCAAAACTTGGTGGAGGACCCTAGGACTTAAAAGTCCTTAACACTCAAACTTGGTGGAGGACCCTAGTACTTAAAAAGTACTTAACACTCAAACTTGGTGGAGGACCCTAGGACTTAAAGTCCTTAACACTCAAACTTGGTGGAGGACCCTAGTACTTAAAAGTACTTAACACTCAAAACTTGGTGGAGGACCCTAGGACTTAAAAGTCCTTAACACTCAAACTTGGTGGAGGACCCTAGTACTTAAAAGTACTTAACACTCGAAACTTGGTGGAGGACCCTAGGACTTATGAGTCCTTAACACTCACAAACCGGTGGAGTATCCAAGGATTATGATCCTAAAACTCATAGATTGTGATATACAAGTAGGGACAAGGAGGAGTCCTATACACTCATAGGTATATGGGTGGGTTGGGGTTTTTGGTCAAGAATATTGACTATTACTATTTTTCTCAAATGAACGGTGACCTACGGGTCGGATATTTTCCAAGTATAAATATATACTAATAAGTATTTCATAACTTGGGGGAAAGACTATTTATTTAAGTATCACCCTATGTTTGGGTCTTATACTTGAAACGCTAGTTATTCTATATTTAGCCTGCTACTCGCTCGGTACTTGTACTGACCCCTTCGGGGGGCCCCACCATTTTCAGGTTGAAGCTAGGGCTTGCTACTTGCACCTTCTCACGGGTGATATCACATCAGGAAGACGTGGTTCGTGCTTCCTTATTTTCTTTCAAACTACCGAACACTTGCTCATGAATATTTGTTCTACTATAAACTATTTTTGGGGCTTGCATGCCCATGTTGTTGGCCGGTTGTGGCTTATGACTTACCGTTGAATATTTCCGCTATTCATTGGTTTAAATGTGATGTTGTTATGTATGTTTACTACTGAGTATGGATGGATTGTTTTCTCGAACGCCTTGTGTAATTAAGTGGGGTTGACTCGCGGGTGACGTCACTTAATTATACGGCGGTTGTACACGCTCTTGGATTGCGGTCTGGGGCGTGACATTTTTACCGAAGGAGATATGTACTGAAATTGAAACAATTATGAATGGATATTGGTGGAGAGGTGTTGATTTTATAAAGCGTGGAATCCTATGGAAATACTGATAGGGACTTTGTTATCCAAAGAAGATGAGTGGGTTGGGCTTCCGAAGACACATGGAGCTTAATGTGGCGATGTTGGGGAAAAAAACTTGGTGATTCATAACGGAGCCACGTTCACTTGTAAGTAGAATCTTTAAAGCAAAGTATTTCTCAATGACTGATTTCTCTCAAGCTAGTTTAGGGTCAATCCCTTCGTTTGTTTGGCGCACTATAATGGAAGCTCATAAGTTGTATGCACAGGCTTGCGTAAACGTATAGGAGATGGGATTGATACCAATGTCTGGGGGTGACGCTTGGGTGCCCCGCCTGGATTCTAGAAGACTAAAATCAGCACAACCATTGTGGGTGAAGGACATGAATGTTGCTTCTCTACTAACTTTGGATGGAAGAAGATGGGATGAGAAGAGAGCGAGGAGTCTTTTTTCAGCTAATGAGTGTGAGAACATTTTGAGTATAACTCTGAGCCACAGGCGAGTTCGAGATAATTAGGGTCGCTTTTTTGTCTAAAGTTGCTATCGTTTGCTAATCGTGGAATGTCAGGTGCAAGACTCGATGGGCTGGATCAAATTGTGGAAATTTTCACTTCCACCCAAGTTTTCATGCGGCATCTTATGATGGGTTGCTTACCCACATCCAACAATTTGAGGCAGAAAATGGGAGAGTGTTTCTAACGGCCTGTTAAGAGTTTTCAAGATTGGGTGCGTTTAATGTTTGAGAACCTGGATGATGATTCCTACTATAATTTCATTATGCTATTGTGGAGATACTGGAAGAGACAAAATGACCAAGTTTGGAAGGGTGAGCGGCGGGATGAGACATGGGTTATTATGTGTGAATGTGCGATATGACTACTCTTCAAGCTTGCTGCACAGAAAGCCGAAAAAAACCCTCCCATGAAAATGATAAATAAAAAATGTAACTTAATAAATTTTATTGACTATAATCATGTTCAAATTTTACATGGTAAGTAACTACATCATAACCTTTTTAGTAGTAATATTTTAGGAAAATCCTCTTGTTTTTAACTTTCTTTATTACGGAGTACATAAAAAGTAAATTTTAATCAAACACTTTAACTTTTTATTTTTTAAAGTTACTTTATTTCTCAAACCATTTAAACTTTTACGCCCGTTTGATAACACTGAAATTGACCGAATCGGATGAATTCCGCTGAAATTGATAAAATGTTGGTCGAAATGGCTGAATTACTGAAAAATAATATTTATATGATACTTTTATTAACATATTAAAGAAAAACTTATATAGAAATAGCTAAAATAGTACTCTAAAGTAATTTTAGTCAATTCAGATAGAAAAGTAATTCAACTTTACCTGCTTTGATTATTATAAAATTTAGCTCACGAAATAAAAAATTATGTGTTTAGTTAAAAGTTGGCCGATGAGAATGATTATTCGAAAACAAAATTATCAAATGGGCTCTTACTATTATTAGTATAAGAAATAATTACATAAATATGACCAAAATAAAGATGGTTAACAAAGGGGGTGTTTGGATCTGATTCTTAAAACTGCTTCTGCTCCTCCAGGGAGCAGAATCAGAAGTTGGAGTGTTTGGGTGAAATTGCAGAAGTGATTCTGGAGCTCTAATTTGCTCCTAGAATCAGTTTTTTTAGAAGCTGGGGGAGACCAGCTTCTGGAAACTGATTCTGATTCTGCTTCTACTTAAAAAAAGAAGCAGAATCAGAATCAGTTCCAAACACCCCCAAAAATATGATTCATTACTAGAGTAGTAATGAAATCATAGTAATTCATGTTCATGTTTTGAACTTTAGTTACCACAACACTACGTTGTAGTAATGAATAGTCATATTTATGTAAATAAGTTTTATCTTAGTATAATCTCTAGTAGCATGTTTGTTAAGCTTGAAATTGATTGAACAGAAATTGATGAAGTTCTGATAGAAATGACTCAATGAGTCGAATATGCTAAATTATACTCCCTCCGTCCCGCTAAGATTGTCCTAGACACTATTCACTTGGTCAACACAAATCACTCTTAATCTCTTACTTTATATATCAAATTTTTATCAAATTCGATTCTGGTTTTTGCGATTTTGTAAAGCTTTTAATGTAGTTTCTCAATATGTAATTTTTTTTTTCTAAAAATAATTTGACTACGGACATGGATCTGTTTGCTTTATCGTCGGTCAAGCCTCGTAAACCGAATTGTCCCAAACATAGTGGGACGGAGGTAGTAGTAAATTTTATTTAATTAATTGAAGAAAAAATTACTTCGTATATGATAAATAGTTAAAACGATCAATTAAAGTAACTTCATTAAATCTAGTTAGAAAAGTAATTCCAAATTTTGATTATAAGGATGTTTTTACTTGGACTGTTTTCAGTCTCATACCAGACCAGACTAGACTTAAGCAGACCAGATCAGACCACGTCAGACTTAAACAAATCAGACCAGACCAGATTTCTATAGTTTTAAAATACACAGAGACCAGAGATTTAGTCATTTACCAGACCAGACCTGTTGAGACTTAAACTCATCAGAGCACCGAACTCAATATTAATCAATATTAGGGAGTGTTTGTAACAGCTTCTGCTTAAAAAAGCACTTTTGGAGTTATTTGGAAAAAGTGATTAGTAGTAAAGGTTGATAGTGTTTTAGAAAAAAGTGATTTTGAAAAGTAAAAGTTGGTAGTGTTCGGTAAAATAAGTGCTTTTTGTGTAATAGAAAAGGGAAAAACACTTTTCACATGAAAATTAAGAATAGTAAAAATTGGTAATGTTTGGTAAATAAATGCTTTTTTAAGTCTCAACAAACTTAAGGAGTGTTTGCCAATGCTTAAAATAAGCACTTCTCAAATCTCAACTTTTAACTTCAAAAAAGCTAAAAGAAGTGTTTGTCAAACCCTACTTCTAATTAAAAAAAGCACTTTAAAGCCAAAAGATGGAAGCTAGTATATACCAACTTCTAAATGCTTCTAGGTATTCTTGTAAATAACTCAAACTTTTTGGATAATTATAATACCCCAAAATCCTTCTAATCCCCAAAATACCCTGAAATGATTACAACAACCCATGCCATCTGCCCCTCTTCGGTTCGTCGTTCCAGCTCTTCTTCCCTGTCGGTTGAACTTAAATGTCCAGATGCAAATTTTTGATAACCTGGACATGTGAGTAGAAATAAAAAATCATTTGAACTTAAAAATCATGTGATTATTGCAATTAGCCAATACGGAGTATAATTGGACGCTGCTCATGAAACCTTCAACACTCCACAAAGATCCTTCGTATGTACTCATCGTCGATTTTTGGAATAGAAGAGAAGAGAATAGAAAAGAATAGAAGAGAAGAATTGTGGCTTTTAACCCTAGCTAGCTCTTCGAACACAGGGAGGAAAGAAAGGTATAAGAAAGTATTTAATAATGGAAGGGTAATTTTGTACTTCTACAATTTATTTCAAAAAATCACTTTATTATTAAATACTCCAACTTTTACATTTTAATTAAAATTATTTCTATTTCCAAACACTATCTACTTTTACTATAAATCACATTTTCAATAATGAAAACAAACCCAAACACTCCCTTGCGCTCCCTGGTTACGGTTCAGATTGTATTTGCCGCACTCTTCCGACCACATTCACTCTTCAAAGGAAATCCAATGAACACCATAAATAGCTGAGATTATGAGATACGGACTACATATGTAGCTAACACATAAGCTATATATACTCGCAGCTGTGTTTCTACTTTCTATCATCAAAAGGCCATGACAGCTCCAAAAGTTGAGAAATCCGAGGATGAATGGAGGGCCGTTCTCTCTCCCGAACAGTTTCGGGTCCTTCGAGAAAAGGGCACAGAGTAATTAATTCCTCATCTCCCTCCCTTTCCAGTCATTTGGTCAATTCCTTTGAGCAAACTTATAAACTTGTATGCACATTTTGCTTGCTTGTGTTTTCGATTTCATTTTATGCCCTTACTGATTATTTAACAATTCTGAGAAGTATATTGGGTTAACTCGTGAGAAAATGGTCTAAATGCACACAATCCAATATTGCAACATATTATCAAAATGAGACTCGTTACTGTTAAAAGAAGAGTTTTCCGTTTTGATTCTCTCGTTAGGACTAAGAAATAAAATGTGCTAGTCTTGTTTGTGAATTTTGTTTATGCTTTAGGCTATGAGTATTATTTGTTTAATTTCTTCATCATCATGACTTGATCCTCATCCTAATTTAGACTGTTGTGATCCCTTTGTACTCATGACAATTAATCATCCCACTATAAATGTATGAGTTCAAAAAACCAAAGGAAAAAGCATATATAACTATCGTGAAGTAATTATGTGATGAAGTCCCAAAAAACTTGTTTTTAAATGAAATTTAATTGAGATAGTTGCTTATTGTGAGTTTTAGGGAGTGTTTGCTATTGCTTCTATTTTGGAAAAAATGATTTTTAAAGTGATTTTAGAAAATGTGCTCAATAGTAAAAGTTGGGCGTGTTTGGGAAAAAAGTGACTTCGTAAAAAAGGTTTTCTTATGTAACAGAAAAAGTAAAGAGCACTTTAAAGATCTCTTCACTTTCTTTTAGCTTTTAAGGGCATAATTTAACGGGAATCTGTCACTTGAAAACGCCAATGTCCTAACACACTCAGGCCTAAGGTGAATTATATATTTCCTATGATTGGATTAATTGGGCGGAGGTGGGGAACCTAGAAGTTTAGCATTGATGGCTAAAATTTGAAAGATTTAATCAAGCATTTTAACTACAACCCTAGCACAAACAAATCATTGTTATGGTGTTAATGTTGAAGTATTTGTCATCTATAAAATATTAAAGGGAAAAGGTGCAAATAGGCCCATGTAAACATTTGACCTTTGTCTTAAGATGGAACCCCAATTTCTAATAGATTAGTTTTTTATTGATTCATATGTAGTAATATTTAAAATAATGATTAGAGAACACCTTGGATGAATAGTCTCTCAGTTTGGCGAGATAAAAAAGAGCTTCATGCATATGTTTTTAATGCAAGTTGTTGACCTAGGAATGATTTGCAGATTGCGTGGCACTGGGGAATATGACAAGTTTTATGGGGAAGGAATCTACAATTGTGGTGGTTGTGGGACCCCACTTTATAAATCTACAACCAAGTTCGACTCTGGTTGTGGTTGGCCTGCCTTTTATGAAGGTTTCCCTGGGGCAATTAACCGCTCAGTGAGTTCTTACTTGCTTTTTTACCATTTCTTAAATCGAATCATCACTTTTCATGCATGTGTAGTGCCATACTATTGTATGAAATAACTAATCAAAATATGTCAAATAATGGTATCACTAGTGACACTCCCAAGGAAGAGGTTACAAGATTCAAACTCATATCAGTCAAGGATATTGACACTTAACTAGATGAGATACTATAATAGATTAGAAAACACAAACAAAAAAACAATTAAAATGTAAAACTTTGATTATTCTTCTATGAGCTTCACACATGTGCCTCAAATTTAATTACTCCTTTTGTCCCGTTTTAAGTATGGTTTCATGGTTTCAGCTGAGATCATACCATGCCACACTTGGTAAGAGTAAAATACACATAATATCATACCTTTACCAAACTAGAGTTAAACAGACCATACCAAAAAATTTCAATCCAAGTGAAAACACCATATGTTTTCAAGTTCAGATTACTATGGTTAACTAACAATAAAACGAACTCTTCCTTTTAAACATATATCTGTATTAACAATGAAAATCTATACGGAGTATATTTTAGGAACTATAATACAAGTACTATTGAATAAAAAAACTAAGTTTTAATATGATAAAAAATTATTATATAAAATCAGAGATTGAAAGAAATTTAAAATAAATTAGAACATAGCGAGAATTCGTACATGGTGTAGGCTTATATGCAAATTTGGATTGTCCAGTGTAGGGTTTTCTAATGAATAAAATTGCTTGGTGCATACAAGGTATCATAAAGTCTGAGATGTTTAAATGTTTGTCTCATATGGGCTACTCATATATGAGGCTTTGTTTAACATAGTTTAATGATATGTTTGTATCTTGGATTATGCTTTTCATTTTAACGAAAACATTTTATAAATGGTATGATTTCTCTCTTCTCTAAGGATACATTTGGATCTTTAAAACTGCTAGATAAATTAAATAAAATGCTAAAAAGACAATTTTCTTACATCTGGTTTTATCTAAGAAAATGCAAGGAGAAACCAAATATGATTGAAGCTTCCATTATTTAGAGAGGTGTATTGTATATGGATTGTGATGATTTTTTTTTAATCCATGGATTTTTAAAAGTCCATAGACTTTTAATTCCATTAACTTTTTATGAATGAATTCATTTGATTTGCACAAATCTATGGGTTTCATATGAATGATATTTATCAACTTTATGAAAAACACAAGTTTTAATTAGAACTATTTTAAGCAACATTCATAAGACTAAATATCGTAACAGGTCAACTTCATGATTATGTAAAATTGTAATATGATAACAAACAAATTGATTTTGAGTAGTAATAAGTATAAACTTTCGAGTTTGGACCAATACTTCTATCAGCACTTTCTTTCCAAACATTACCTATATAAATTCCGAATTCCATGTTTTTCATTTTTCTTAATCTTCTAGCCCCCCGGCCAAGTCTTAATAAATATCACAAAACACAGTTAGGGATGGCATACTGATGAGTTTCCTGAAACTGACAACTGGTCTCATTAAACTCTGTTAAAGTTAAACTTGTATGTAGCAATATGCACAACTATGTCAGTAAACTATAACCTTCCATTGCTTTTCCATATTAAACACAAATAGTCGTGTGTCAGCCTGACCCTGATGGAAGGAGGACTGAGATCACCTGCACTGCTTGTGGTGGACACCTAGGCCATGTTTTCAAAGGTGAAGGGTACAAAACACCTACAGACGAACGCCACTGTGTGAACAGTGTCTCAATCAAGTTTGCTCCTGCAAATATTTCAGAACCCTGAAGTTGGAGCTGATCATAGCCAAAAAACATATTCCTTGCTACTCTGAACATTGGTGGTGGTTGTGAAAACTTTCATGTTGTTTGTTGTTTTAAAGACTACTACTATCAGTGTATATGCTCTTATAAAGTGATGTGAGTTGGATTGTTTACTATGATGATGTTATTATATATGATTAATTCCCTGGTGCCGTCTTCTAAATATTCTGCCTTTTATTTACTATAGAACTCCAAGTTAGTATTAAAAGTGTTTAGGGTTATTCGGTAATTTACTAGAACTGTCATTGACTATGTTATTCCTCCCTGGCTCCCTATGACCCTATATGCTGAGTAAGTCCATTCTATTATTTTCTCTCATATGGTATAAGTCGCCTTGGTTTTACAGCCCTGGTAATGTTCACCGTCCTAGCACGAGGCTCGACAATAGCATTCGCCACCCCTGTCCTCAGGTTTGATGATGAAAACTTCCCCAACCATGAGTCCATGACACCCTCTCCTTGGAGCAAACTACAATAGGATTACTTGTCATGTACTTAATATCCATCTCTGTTTCACGCACCACCTTCCCACCAGCTCATACATGCTTTTTATACATGCAAAAACTCTTCACTTGGAATTGCATTGCCATTCCGACTTCTGAGGATGCGGATTCCCACCCCAGGACCATGTCATGAAACAGTCAATCTAGTCATCTGGTGCAATTCTCTTGTCTCTTTCTGAACTAGGAATTCCACATTTGGACTTTCACCACAAAGTAGTATCAGCCCTCCAAGAATTCTTGTGTCCCAGTCTTCTCTCTTGCTTTCTTGGCCCCGGACATTGCTATTATGGTGCTGTTGGTTTACATCTACGGGAGATTTAATTCATGACATTATATTAGTAATGAACTTAATACACAATCTGGGGACTGAAGGTCATATTACTCTTATATGAATCCTTGATCACATTTAATATGTGTCTTTCCGACAACCTTAATTTTGAAGACCTCTGAACCAAGCTACTTGCTCTACAACAACTCTTTTGCCTTCCCGGACACGAGATAGCAAACATGGACCAAACCAATAAGCCTTGACAACTTCCTAGAGACCGTCCTCGACAGACTCAAGCTCCACAAGCTTCAAGTCTATCTACCATGTTCTGCATAATAAGCATAAGCTTATTTCTATTCAATACTTAACTATAACTTTCCCTCATATTATTTATATTGTACTTTGGGTTTTGTATTGTGTACATGTCACTTGTACTTCAGATCGAGCAGGTGAAAATAATTTACAAATGATTATGCTTTATGTCTTCGTCCTTCCAAGAGTGTTTAACTAATTCTTGCCTATTATGGTACTGGAGCCTTTGCGATATTATCCTTAATGAAATACAGTTACTTTTTAGGATAAGAGTTATCTCCTCATAACATAAATACCTTGTACTCCTACTACTTATCATTTCAAGTTGAGTGATTTACAGAACAGTAGCAGCCATGTATGTATAAATAAATCAGCTACATAACCAAGCATTCCAGCCTAGCTGATTGTGAGGTTACTGTGCCTAGTGGGAGGTTTCGAGTTCGAAACCCGCTAGACACATAGTGGTTTGAAACTCAATGAAGTGAGTTTCAGCCCTGATTACTCCAGTCTCCCCCCCAGCCCCCCTCCCCCACACCCCGTGGAGTAGAAAAAGGAAAGAAAAGAAAATCAGCTACACACATGTACTAGTAAGTAGAAAATCTGTAATCAAAGATATTTAATAATTATAGTTATTCTCTATCAAAGCTTATATGACATCAGACAATGGGGTAACCATGGTCTCTCCTTGCACTGAACTGTAGACCACAATTACACCTTTTGGTGCTACCATTTCTGCTGTAGTGCTGTTAATCAATGCATCAGTAATGTTTTTCCTCCATCCACAGTGAGCTTGTCCAATGCTCACCACTTTGTCTCCATGAAATTAACATTCTGAAATGATTTGTTTTGGAAAACGCAGCTAGTTTGCTTCCTTTGTGGCCATCAACTTCTTGGCTATGTTGGTGGCATCTTGTCATGTCTGCCATCGTCTGATCCAACTTATACCATGACTTGAATCACTAAAGATCAGTCTATCTTGAGCATGTTGATGTCATCATTGTTCGAAGAAGTTATGCCTCTAGCGGTTGGCAAATCCACCTCTCGTGATTCGTGAAGTTTGGACTGCTATAGAGTGTGTCCTTGCTTCTCAAACTTGGTCTTGGTCTCTTAGTCTCCTTACTCACCTACAATCTCTTTGCTAAGGAGATCTATCTCCAGCATAGTACCTGAGTAAAGCTCGAATTCTAATAGAAAAACTCGATCAATTTGACCATTCTGTCTCACTTGATGAACAAAATATCTATATTTTTTGCGGTCTCTGTTCAGAACCTCCTACTCTTGATAAAATTGCTGATTTCATCACGACTCATAAGTTCATCTAGGATGATGCCTCATGTACACCTATCATTGTTACTTGTTAGTGCCTCTTCACAGCCAGTTGCCAATATGATCCAAACTGTCTTTTTGTCATCTCAGTTTTCTCCCCAAAATACAATCTCTCCTCATCGTGGTTGATAGAGTATATGGACTAGCACCCGTCAATGGTCATCAATGGTCACCGTGATGATTTCCATGGCAGAAACAATGGTTCTAATCGTGGTCGCTCGCCACTTCATGGTCGGGACAACTCTACCATATCTGTTTTCCAGATTTGCAGCTGTACCTTTCATATAACACTTCATTGCTATGATTGTTGCATGGACTTTTCCCAACGACATACAACACATCATCTGCCACAAGTTCATATGACTTATCACCAGCCACATACTTTCTCATTGAATTACAACTCACAACTGGTATTCACACAATGGCACAACTTATCATGCCACGCTCGGATATTGTGGCTCTCGACAACCCTGCACCATAGTATGGTAGTGACACACTTCGTGTTAGCAATCACATAGATTTGAAACTTTCAATTTGTGGATCCTCAACGATTCCCTCTTCATCCCCACTTTAGTTATGTGTAATTTCTTAGAGTTCCACAATTAACCACATGTTACGGACCTAGCTCATACTAGGCTTATACCAACGCCATAAGCCCAGTTGTAGAACTCACTCCCAAAAGACTAACCGATTAGGAGGAAGGAACACCTAGCTTATAAGCCACCGATCAAGCCATACTTCATCGGGATCGTTACACCACATCTTTATTATCGATTTATTGTCTCCTGATGATAATAATGTTTACTTTGAATTTTATCCATTTTTTCTTGTGAAGGATTTGACAACCAAGAGGATCCTCCTCAAGGGAACTAGTTACCAGTTCAAATGGACTATATCAAGTTTCTTGAAAAGCATCATCCCTAAAATTTTCAATGCCCTCATTTTATTAAGGGCTTGATTTCAACATGACACAACCTATAAGAAAAGAAAGTGACCACAAATGTACAAGCTTCTAGTTCAATGTGTTGTGGTGAAAAGCAATCAAGGAGAAGATGAAATCATGAAAAATGAAGAAGTAACTCAACTTGATGATAATCATGAATTTGAATCATGTTCATGAATTGGTGTAATCCGAATCAAACAGAACTTTTTTACTTGGTCTCGACATTTAATTTTAGATAAAAATGACTTTTTTAATCGAATCCACCCGCAGGATGATGGTTTGAAGAATCAACAAACACAAAGAAAGGTTACACAAATTTATTGATGCCTTGAAGGGCGAAGAGAATGACTTTAACTGGATAAGTAGATTTGATAAAAACAACGATATGAAATCATCAAGAAAAACTTAGGATAAATTATACTCCCTCCGTCCCAAAATCGTTGGCCAATGTTGACTTGCATGTGGTTTAATAAAGTACAAACTGTGTGGTTGAAATTTGTGTGGAGGAGAAAGATCTAACTTTAACCGCATATTCCTTACTTTAAATGGAAATGGCCAACCTTTTTGGGACGGCCAAAAAAGGAAAGTTGGCCAACCATTTTGGGACGGAGGGAGTAGTACAAGAAGAAATTTCACATTTTGCCTTTATTAATTTTATTGAATAACTTAGCCGCGATATGGCATAGTGGCAAAACCACGACCCTAGCAGCCGCGCAACCGCACATCTTCATCATCTTGCTCGGCGCGACGGCGCATCAGCAGCTTGACAAGGCTAGAATTTTGTGTTACAGTATTTAAGGTTTTCTCATCGTTTGAGATTTCTTTTCGACTGATTTTCTGGTCATTTTTTGTTTCGTCCGGCTGAGTTGTCTCTGGCCGAGGTTTTCTTCTGTTCCAATTGTGAATGTGTTTGTTTTTTGTTCGCGCATTCTAGTGCTTCTTTTTCTCCGTCTCGGACACGACGTTTATTTGTTCCATTAATGGAGAGCTCAAATCAAGCTTATAAAAGGATGTCAATGAAAGAGGTTGATCGCAAGGGATAAAAAAACGGCAAGGAGGCGGTGCTCCGAGAACAACACCGCCTAAAATCAAACAAGTCCCATAAACGAGATGGTTGTTTTGGAGGTGGCTAGACAAACCTCTTCTCCTTTCCCGGTGGCTGGTAAAATCGGAATGCTTCCTTTAGAGGTGGATGTACAAACCTCTTCTCCCTTCCTGGTGGTTGGTAAAACCGGGACGCTTGAATTTGTTTGTTATTTTTTATTTAAAGAATTCTTATTTAGTAATCTCTCGTTTTAGTAGCAAGTTCAGCGATTTTGTTAGATTAGACTACCATGATGCGGGGTGAACGAATTTGACAGGTCCTCAGAGGCTAGTCAATTCTATGTCTCACTCTAATGTAGCTTTGAACTATTGTATTGTTTTGTCTCTTGTTACTCTCATTAATAATAATAATTAAGTCTTCTTCTTTCAAAAAAAATTATTGAATAACTTTTTATCAAACATGTAACTTTTAGGTGCTTATTTCTTATGTGATAATGTACGCTTCACATTTTGCTTTTGGAGATCCTTAAACTCTAAAAGTAAGTATTACTCTCTCCATCCCTGAAAGATCTTCCATTTCACTTTCTGATGTTCAACTTAAAGCATTCTTAATCTTTTACTTTATATATCAAAATTTCACGAAAATTGAATTAGTTTTTGCAGGCTTTATAACGATTTTAGTGTAATTTCAGAATATGTAAATTTTATTTTTTAAAAAATAATTTGAATTTTTATATGGATCATTTAATTTTATTGTTGTAGTATGATTTGAATCAACATATATGTATTTGAATTACATACATTCTTTCTGCATATATATGAATTGTATGGGTCTTCATAAATATACCATGGTTGTTTCCCTAAATGATA